AATAACAGTTGAGTCTTAAATGCCTTATTAATTGCTATCCATATTACAACAGCATCAAAATATACTGAATAACTTAACAGAAGCTAGTCCCTAGGAAGGGAGAGTATAAAGAGGATTAGAAAAGACAAGAAGATGAACTCATGCAGAGAGCTTGTCATATCTCATATGCTAACAAATTTGAGCTCAATTAGCATTTGGATGAGAGACCAGTTTTGCTGAAAGTGGTGTTGCAGACTTAATAGGCAGCAATAATACCCTCATTTTTTTTTTTTTTCAATTGTAAGAAAATATCAGGGCAGAAGCAGAGAGAATCTGTAATGAATGCATAGCTAGGAATAACTCCCTTAAAATAATGTTAATTTTGCATTAGCCACATTAATGCAGCCTCCTCTCTACTGTGTGGGTTTTATGATCTGACCAAACCTGGATAACTGTTCCTACTCCTCTGGGGGAGGATGTTATGGCTAGCGGCAGGGGCCTGCTGTGTGTTTGAGATGAGAGCACAAAGTGTTCACTCCTGTCCTGAAGGCAGGTGTAGCTTTCATCTCTCAGGATATGGGAGGTGGTTGAGGACCTTCAAATACAGGAGATAACAGGGTTGCGAAGTACATCACTCATGCTCAGACCATTGCCTGTGTTGTGCTCTACTGTCCCACTGAAAAATGGATCTAGTGCTTCTCAGGACTTCTTTGGACAATGGTATTCTCAGCTAGCAAATACCCCAGCTCCAATTTCCCACTTGTTTTCTCTCCACAGGGTAAGGAAGCTGAAGAAAACGGTTTCCACTATAACAACCTTCGTCTGGTGGCTGCAGACTTGTTTGGAGCTGGTTCTGAGACCACCACCACCACTCTTCGGTGGGCGTTGCTGTATATGCTTCTCCACCCAGAAATACAGAGTAAGTCAGAAACAGGCAGAGGTGTGGCCTCTTCCCTTCAACCTGCGTTTTTCTGCAAGGAGGCTGAATACCTTCTCTCCATGATTTGGAGGTTTTGCCTCTGCCTGGTGCCCAGGAGAGCCCAGCTCTGGCTTGGTTCCTGAAAAAAGGAACAGCTTTGGCGATTGTTGGTCTAGCAGAAGCCAGGAGAAACACTTCCCAAACAGCTGTTCTGGCAGAGGTGAAACCCTGATAAAAAAGACAAATTGGAAAGGCAAGTTCGCTCTCACCTTCATTTTGAAGGCTGGGGACTTGCAGTGGTCAGCATACCCTCTTTCCAGTATTTGGAGTAGATGCTGATCGGTTCAAATTCTCTGATGCTGCATGGCCAGGTACCCTTCCAGCTGCATAGAGGAGGGGTAAGGTAGGGGTAAGGGACCTTTTAAAGACACTATGCTCAAAGAATAGTTATACAGATGTCACCGAGCAACTGAAAAATGCCTCCCCATCTAGTTCCTGTTTCTTTCACTAATTGCTTGTCCCGCTCTCACCCAGTGCCTACAATCTCATGCTGCCAATCTTCCTTCAGCTTGTGCCAGGCCCTTTTGTCTAAGTGTCCTCTAATTCCTTATCTGTTCTGCTTCCAGGTAAGGTCCAAGCAGAGATTGATAAGGTGATTGGCAGAGAGAGACCCCCCACCATGAAGGACCAAGTGAGCATGCCTTACACTAATGCTGTGATCCATGAAGTGCAACGCTATGGGGATATTATTCCTGTTGGACTACCTCACATGACGTACCGGGACACCGAGTTGCAAGGCTTCTTTATTCCCAAGGTGACCGTGACCAGATAAGCAATACAACATCCTCTCCTTGTGCAGACACCAGGCATGGGGTGTGGGTGACCCCATGCAACTCTGCAGTGTTGCACTTCCAGACCCAATTACAGTCACTGACGAGCACTAAAGTAGGACATTTTGACATGCTAAATCCAGGCAGAGGGTCATATCTGTGCTCTAGGTTTACACTGGTTATATGGGAACCCAACTGCAGTGGCAGCTCAGTGCAAAGGTTTCCCTTCCTCTCCATGAGCCGTGACATTCACTGCCTGTGTTGGAAGGAGCCTAACAGCCTAACAGGCTCTCTGGAGGCACACAGCACCAGCTTACTGGCTTGCCTAAGATGGTAGTATTTAAAATTCTAACCTCTGAAGCTATTCAAATGCCACTGACATTCAGACCACTTCCACCGTGACAGGCAGCTGCCCTGGCAGCACTGGCAGAATTCAAGTCTGGGATTATTTTTTTTAGTTTTTTTTTTGGTACCCTTGCAGTATCTCCTCTGGCTTAGAATGTTGACATGTGAAACAGGAAAGCTTTGCAATTTTCCATGGCCCCTGCGAAAGCTGGGCTTTGAAGTCTGTCAGTCAGCTTCTTCTCTGCAACTATAAAACAAGTCCAGGAGGATCTGAGAAGTAGAGGCTGTTTCCACTGCGTAACCATGAAATTGGCATTTGCATTCAACAGCCTCTGTAAGGATACAAACTGCAAAAGTTCAGATACTTCAGAGTGTAGGGTAGGCACCATATATCACTGGAAAAGTGCCCTGCTTTACCTCTGCTTTAAATAAGATGCAGAAGTGGAGATGGGTGCCTTATGCTGAGGCACTGAATGATGGTTGCTATTAGATGGGAGACACAGGGACCAGCACTGATCCATTGTGCCAAGATAATGCTGCTGTTCTCACATAAGTTGTTTCCTCTTGTGGAGTGCAGGGGACGACAATCATCACCAACTTGTCTTCTGTGCTGAAGGATGAGACAGTCTGGGAGAAACCAAATGAGTTTTACCCTGAACACTTCCTGGATGTAAACGGGCAGTTTGTGAAACCAGATGCCTTCCTGCCCTTCTCAGCAGGTAAATCTGAGGGGAGTATCCAGCTGCAAGTCAGAGGCACAGCAGGAGGGTGATCTGCTCTCCCCACAGTGATTCCAGCATGGATTAATGCCCTTTTTGATGGACACTTTCTACTCCCTCTCTTGCAGGTCGCCGTGTCTGCCTGGGAGAACAGCTGGCCAGAATGGAGCTCTTTCTTTTCTTTACCACTCTCCTGCAGAAATTTACCTTTGTGCTCCCTGAGGACCAGCCCAGGCCACGGGAGGATGGTCACTTTGCTCTCACAAACTCCCCACACCCATACCTGTTGCAAGCTGTCCCAAGATAAGTGCACACCACTCTCCTTTCACTCACAGAGCATCAGCAATACAAACTTTATCAGAAACATTGCAGGTCTAGGCAGGCTCATGCTGGGCTCCACTTAAGACCTCTCAAGTCAAAAAAATGTCCACAGCTGTGTAAAGTGAGGATCTAGCCCAATATCTCGTTTATCTTAATTCTGGTTCTGGATCTTGAATCAAACAGCTATATGAAGTTAGTAATGGCAATCAAGTTTGTAAGGACATTTTTGCCTAATCAGCCAGCTCTGCTGTACTTTGGGCTCTCATCGGTTGCAGAAGCAGTTCACTGAACACGCAGCTTCTGAAAGAATTATTAGCCCTGAGTTACTTTACAGAAATACAAGGATATCCTGGGTAAAAGACAACCCTGAGGTCTTGCTGATTCTGGAAGCAAAAAACGACTAGGAAAAACCTGTAAGGTACTACTGTTAGCCCCACTGCCTATCCAGCCATGCTCTGCCTCTCCTGCGTGCAGCAGTGTGTGCCTCTGCCTGGTGCCCAGGGGAGCCCAGCTCTGGCTTGGTTCCTGAAAAAACAAGGGATGGTCAGCTGATTTGGCTGATGCTGCTGGTGGGCAGGGCGAGAGCTTCAGCTCCAACAAAGTGACATTTAAATGCAGTTTCAGAGCAGTGCTCCTGAAAAATTTTACCATCCAACACACGTCTCCTTTGTTCCTTCCTGTTTATTACATACTCCTATCTATTGCACAGATATTGCATTGTTTTCATTTATAGTCCCAAAGAAAGTAAGTTTTAATCCTGACAACCCTTATGTCGCGCTAATCCTCCAGTAGGAGTAAATACCAAGGAATACATAAATAATCCATATGATGTGTCAGCCACAGAAGCAGGTCATTTGTGAAATACAGCAATTTCTATAAGTACATTTCAAGAGAAATCCTGGTGTTTAGATTTATCATTTCCTCTAACTAGCTCCTGATAACTGTTTTGGGGTTTTTTTAGCATTACTTAAAGTCAGCTCTTGGGCAGGTTTGGAACTCACAAAGGGATGGAGTTATACTGTTTGAAACTGTATGGCCATAGACTTCAGAACTACCTTTCTTTTTCTTCCTGCAATATTCCTGACAAATTGTTTTGCACGGTGTTAAAATATGTTGATATTTAGATTAGTAGTAGCTGCCTTTTAACCACATGGCTGAAAGGACCATAACATAAAGGAGCTTCTGTGTATAACCACCACTAAAAAAAATAATAAATACCTGAAACTGAGTGTGTGGACACCTTTATATCTATCTTTCTAATGGTAATTTTGGAAGCTATGAAAGCTACTGAACTATGCGAATCCTTATTAATGCAGTTGTTAAGATTAGTACTCCATGCTAAGATTTGTATTTCATGCTTTTAATCTCAAAAAAAATCTGAAATAATAAAAGTGATGTGAAATCTTCTTTCTCATCTCTCCTCTTTGTGGTTGCCTCGGTCCTGCTGTGCCCCAGCCTCAGACGCTCACTTGGCATTTCTCTCCTTACCCCTAGCACCGCAACTGTGTCTTTAAAGATCCTTTCAGCGTTATTTTTCTAGTCAGTTCAATGACACTGTACTGAACGCTTTTGGGTTTGTAGTGACCAGCACACACGAGTGCATTTAAAGAGAAGGTTGGCATGAACTTAACTTCAGTGAGGATCCCAGCACTCGTGTATTTGGATAAAAACGTACGTACAGCTGGACTAGGACTGTCTTTCTAACACGCAATAGTGCACTGACAGAAAACAGCCGGTGTGACGTCTGGGGTCAAAGGCAACAAATACATAATTCCATAACGCAGCCCCAGCGCGGCCCTGAGGGAGGTGCCGGCTCTGAGGGGTCGGGCCCCACAGCCCCGGGAGGCGGGACACGGTGCAGCCCCGCCCATCCGGCGTGGTCCTCCCCTCGCAAACAGCGCTGATTGGCGTTTCCTCCGACCAATCCGATGGGAGATCGTCGGCTGGCCGGGCGGAGTGGCAGTACAGCCGACCAATAGGAGCTCTGCCGCGCCGTGGGTGTTCCCGAGGGCGGTAGCAGGGCGGTGGCGGCAGCAAGATGGCGGTGGCGGGCAAGGGAGCGCTGTCGGCCGCGGTGAAGCCGATCTTCAGCCGGGACCTGGGCGAGGCGAAGCGGCGCGTCAGGGAGCTGTACCGGGCGTGGTACCGCGAGGTGCCCAACGCGGGTGGGTGAGGGGCGCGGAGCTTGCCGCGCGTGCTCAAGGTCGGAACGGCCTTAATGACATTGGTGAAACCGGCGGGCTGCGCCTGAACGAGCGGCCGGGTAGCGTTTTGGAGGGTTGAGTTGAACGCCGCCGGTGGGGAAAACGCGAAGCGATGTGGATGACCGCAGTGGGTGTTGTTTCTTGTAGTACACCTGTACCAGCTGGACATCACGGTGAAACAGGGGCGTAACAAGGTGCGGGAGATGTTCATGAAGAACGCCCACATTAGGGATCCACGGGTGATAGACATGCTGGTTATTAAGGTACAAACAGCTTGGGCTATGGAGGGGTTGTCTCTTGCAGTCGTATTGGTTTACCTATGTCAGCAAACCTGTTGATCAGGGATCATGCTGCTTTAGCAAGCAGAGGAACAGAGTCTTAATGCACGTAAGTCCCAGTGGCTTGAATACAGATTTCTGTCACTCAGGGCACTGGTTCTGGTTTGCAGATCTTTAAATGAGCCACAGTAACTGACCTCTGCAGTTCTAATGCCTTAGAAAGCTTCCAACCAAGGACTGCCATGCTCACCTGTTATATTTCATGCATTTCAAGACAGTTACTCTGTCTTTACATGATGAGAAAAATCTGGAAATAAAATCCTAGGTAGTACGGTTGATGACAATTCCAGGCAGTCTCATTTTACTCTGTGCTGCCATCCTACAAAACCAGTACAATAGAGTGGAGTCATGAAGAAGTTAAGTTTAATATCTCTGTGGCACTGATACTGGTGCTAAGCACTTGGTAGTAGTTCTGCTTACTTTTACAGGTAATGTGCTGCTTTTCAAACAAATTCAATAGAGGTACTTGAAAATTAGGAATGTTATGTAGAATTTTATGGGAGGTGCTGGTCATGAGAGAAACAATGCAGCTTTTAAGAAGGAGGCAAGATCCTTTGCCTGTTTCACAGGGCTGGGAAGCTATACTGCAGAGACGTCAAGTCACAAGGCAGAAACAGCATATTTGTGTCACAGTGTAGGTGATACAAGCAGTCTGTAGGAGTACAGAACTGCTGATGCAGCTGTTTTTTACTTAGGTGTTTCTCAGTGCATTGAAATAACTTTCATGCTGCTGTAAGGTTAGACTTGGGCTCTAACTGAGAACTGGTCTAAAATTCTTCTGTCTGTGCTCAGGGGAAAATGGAGCTTCAAGAAACCATTCATGTATGGAAGCAGAGGACTCACGTCATGAGGTATTTCCATGAGACGGAAACCCCGCAACCTAAAGACTTTCTGTCCAAATTCTACGCGGGCCACGATCCCTGAGAGATTGACTCTGTGTCTTCCTGCCTTATATTACAAATAAAGTTCTGTACAATAGAAAAAAAACATACAGAGAGATTGTGTAACATATTAGGAGTCTAAGGCCTAGCTGAATCCAGAGTGTATGCAAGTGATTATGATGTTTGAAGAGCTGTGATTTCACAGTTTTGCCAATATGTATTTTCAGTGGGCAGCGTTTGTCCCATCATCTGCCCTGGGGTGTCTGCTGAATAACCACAACACAACCTAGCTGTGGGGCTTTGTGCTTGGCCTGCAGCCCTGTCTGTACGTGTTAGCTCTGTGGAGGAAAGAGCAGGTCTTCAGAACAGCCAATGTAGTCACAGAAATACTCTTGTGCTTGAGACCCATCTGTATTCATGTAGTGTCTTGCAGTTTCATGCTGTGACTTTGTTGACCTGCTGTTTTTCCCTTGGACACTAGTCTCTGTTTACCTCCTCAGAGAATACATGAAATCCAATAGGCATATAAATCCCTTTGTGCATAAAGACATCAGCAGAGTCCATTTCCCTGCTGTAAAATGAAATTACCTGGAAAAATGGGGGGTTGTACTGTTATCTAGAATAGGAAAGCTCTGTAAGAACTTCTGATGCCTAGCAGGAGATGGTGTCCTACCATCACCTTCTTAATTGAATCAGGAATTACTAGCTCCCTTTTGAGAAGGGTAAGGAGAATTTGTTCTGTCACCAGTCAGAACAGATTTTCAGGAGGTAACTCAGTGCTAGAGCTCCCCCAGGTGTGACCAGCATCGGATCTTTGTAGTACAGGTTTTATCCTGCCTAAATACTGGGGCTTTCTTCCCCATAAGAGGACTGTAACACAGCACTCCTCAGGGATGTGTATGTAAGTGTACCTTGGGGCTTCAGGGGTGGCGTGTTTTTAAGGACAGGGTTGAGAGAGTCAGGAGGGGCCAGAAGAGACCGTGGGATAAAGCAGCGATAAGGAATTTGGCAGCATAGAAGACAGGAGCGGGTACATGTTTGGCTCCCAAGAGCAGATGAACTGGAACAACCACTTCTCAGGTGGCTTGGGGAAGGAGGGGGCAACTCAGATACCAAGTGACTCAAGAACCTGACATCTCCCTTCAGCTACAGCTGTTGGGGTTACTCAGATTGCAGGCTCCCTTTTGTCTCTGTAGCTATGCTGGAGAGTTACAGAGCAAACATCCAAAGCTGTGCCAAAGAAGAAGGGAGCAAGTGTGGCTGTTTGAACTATACACTGTGCCAATGTGTGCGACATTAAGTGAAACTTTTTAACAGTGACATGAATAAAGAAGGAGAAAGTGGGCAGTCAAGATACAAGGCCAGAGCTAATGACCAGAAACCACAAGAGAGACACTGGCTTAAGAAAAATAAATAATTGACTAACCTTTCTAGGTTTCAATTTGAGAAAACAGCTGGTCTGATGTGACTAAAGATGCTCTTCATGTGCCCTAGCAGCAGAGAAGATCTCTTTTAAGTCTATTATGCTAGGATTTAAATGCAATAGTAAACACTTCTATGAAAAGAGCACTTGAGGTTTATACACAGTTAAGACAACAAATATATTAGGGCTCATTCAGAAGGAAGTACCGAACTACCCAGGAAATATTAGGTACATGGAGCCAGTATTTAGATGTTTTTTTCAGTGTTCAGAGATTAAATGCTATAAAAGACATCAGCAAGTTAGTTTGCCATTTGTGATCTTTTAGCCTTTTACCAAAGGTACGCAAACTTTTAACTCTGTGATGATAATACTGTATTTAATCTTCAGTGAGGAGATATTAATGACACGGTCCCATCACCTGCCAGGTTGCTGAACCGCAGTGCCATTGCTGATGTGCACTTCATTCTTTAATGGGGCTGTGTTGTGGGGCTGCTGCTTCCCCTGGGGAAAAGGGCTCACAGAGAGGACTCACAAGAGGAAATAAATATCAGGAGAGCCTCCTTACTGGAACAGACAGACAGAGGAGAAAGGTTAAGACAAATGCTAGTACACAGGCACATTTTTTTCCCCACCACATGAATAAAAACACAAGACCAAAGTCATACATCTCAATCTCTTGATCTTTAATTAAGTGTTTTCCATATTGCTAATTCAAAGCATCCAAGCAGTCTTTGATGAGGTGAGCGTGTGCAAGGGCTGCAAGGATGCAGTGCTCTTCCTTCAACCCTGATCTACAGATTTCCCTCATGCACAGGACACTCACTGGCAAAAGGGGGAAAAGCCCCCCGTCCCATTTAGGAAGGACAAAACAGGTGACAGACGTTGGAATCATTGCTTTGTCAATGGCTTTCTCCCTTCTGTTCTTCTGTTACTGTGCTGCAAATAGAATAACAAGCTGTTACTCTTCAGAAACACTCCTCCCAAAACCACACAAGGTGGGGTTTAGGTAAAAGAGGTTTCCAACTGGCCACTGCAGTGTTTACAATCTTTTAAGTCTTTGTTTTTAGCTGCACAGTGCATGCTGGAAAACACCCTTATCAAGTGGAGTACATCCACCAAAACGATTACAAAGCAACACTGTTTACAATAACATCTTTAAAACAGTTTCTTTGTTCTATAAAGAATCAAATACACCCAAAGTCAAATCTTTACAAAAGGGCAAGCCAAACAGAATAACATAAAATGGTAGAAAGTGTAGCGTAGTGCAGACAGAGGTGAATTATTTTGACTCTTTCTTTCTCCAATGACTCTGAATGATCCAACTACTCAGAAATCAATGTTGTAACACCCACCAGACAGTTCTGATGGGTTCTGGAATTCTCTTAAATTGTTCACCTATATCAGAGTTTCAGACAGTAAGTGACTCTCTTTTAAAACAGTCATTCTGTGAGTTAGCAAAAAGCTTTTAAACAGGTAAACAAGTAGAACAAAATCATAGAATCATTTAGGTTGGAAAAGACCTTCAAGTTCATTGAGTCCAATTGTTAGCCCAGCACTGCCATGTCCACTGCTAAACCGTGTCCCTAAGTGCCACATCTACACATCATTTAAATACCGCGAGGGAGTGTGACACAACCACTTCCCTGGGCAGCCTGTTCCAATGCTGTACAAACCTTTCAGTGAAGAAATGTTTCCTAATATCCAATCTAAACCTCCCCCGGCACAACCTAATGCCATTTCCTCTTGTCCTATCACTTGTTACTTGGGAGAACAGTCTAACACCCACCTTTTTACAACCTCCTGTCAGGTAGTTGTAGAGATCAGTAAGGTGTCCCCTGAGCCTCCTTTTCTCCAGGCTAAACACCCCCAGCTCCCTTAGCTGCTCCTTATAAGACTTGTGCTCCAGCTGCTTCACCAGCTCTGTTGCCCTTCTTTGCATGCATAATGTAGTAACACTGAAGTCTCTCTGTTCTGTCTGCAGTATAGAGCCTCACTGACTACAGTTTATTTCTGATTCAACTGACAAGATCTAAAACTCCATCAGTTTACTCTGATTTCTAGTGAATGTATGGTGTGAAGATTTCACAGATACCAGTCTGGCCTACTCTGGTATAAAAGAACTAAAAAGTTCATAGCCAAAGGCAAATCCGTGTCCGTGTGTTTAACTGCAAATGTACCTTTTGAGCTGTTGCTGTCTGTATTTCCTTATCTGAGATTCTCCTCCCTGCCCCAAGCCAAACGGGAAGCACAAATAATTAGATTGACGGTGCAGTTAGTGACATACCCTTTAATCATCGTCATCATCATCCTCTGGGACAAAGATATCATGTTCTTCAAGTAAGGCTGCGAAGTTCTTACTGATCTGAGTACCAACATACAGGAAAGGGATCACGACGCTGAACACTCTGAGGAGGCCGAAGGGCGTCTGCAAGGAGTCGATTGGAAAAGGTGGATCTTTACCAGCAAGTGGCACTTCGGCTGAACCGGCACACTCCCGGCTCCGCCGGCCCGCGGAGGGCCCGGGAAGCGGCGGGAGGAACGCTTTGCCGTCCCTAGTGCCAACCCCCGTCACCGCATCGTCCTTTATTAGAGTACTATAGTATTATAAACATTCCAACACCAGGGAGCTGGAATCCGCGGGGAGTCCGGGGCAGGGAACACCCGTGGCTTAGCAAGGGGAGCGGTCGCCGGTGGCAGAGGGTGTACGCAGGCGGGTGTTGATTTCCGCCTTACTGCCCACCGAGCACAGCCAGGCCAGCGCCGCCCCTCTCGGGGGAACACGGTCCGGGCCAGCGCCGGCCCGCTCGGGGGACGCGGGGCCGCCCCCATCACCCTCCCGGTGCCGAGCTTCCGTGTGCCCGCCCCGCCTACAGTCGCTCCCCTCATTGGCCCAGGCTCTGTCACTCACCGCCCAACCCCGCCCACAGCAGCTGCGCCCGCACCGATTGGCTACCGCTGCCGTCCGTTGCCGCCCCCACCCGCCCGCCCCTCACTCACCTTAACCGGCTTGGGCAAAATGGCGCCGCTGCGGGTGACGGTGGCGCTTCGGGAGGGCACCAACGAGACGGCCGAGGCGCCGCGCGGCCCGCTCCAGCCCGCCCGCCCCGAGCGAGCCGCCGTCGCCGCCAAGAGCCGCCCGGCTGCCGCCGCCATCGTCCCGCCTGCCCTGAGCCGCGGCTGAGCCCGGGCGTCACCCGGGATCTCGCGAGGCTTGAGAAGAGGCGGCGAGAGAGGCGCTGCGCGTGCGCGAGGCGGGGCCGCGCCCCCTTTCCCGGTCGGGGGGGCCCCCCGGTGGCCGGGAGGAGGGAAGGAAGCGGGCAGCCTCCCACCCCTTCCGAGAGGGCTCCACCGGGAAAACCGCGCCAGGCGGGAATGCCCAGGCCCTGCAGACACTCCCGGAGGGGCTCACGGGCTACAAATCAAACCGGTTTATTTAGCATAAAATACAAACGCTGAACAACGTAAACTAAATGAGATTCGTAATACAAGTTTCGCGTGTAAAACAAACGCTAACAAAGTAATGAAATGTATAATACAAGTTTCGCGTGTAAAACAAAGGCGCATGCAAAACCGTCTCCTAAAAAATAGAACACGCCGTCCTACCTAAAATAGAAGCCCTTGGGAAGGCGGGAGTGTCCCCGCGGGTTGCTCGTAGTGTTGCCAGGTAATTGTGCGGATAGGACGCAATGGGTAGTGCCGAGGTGCCCCGGACACGGGAACTCCACGTGCATTTCAGTGGGGATTCTTTTAAGCTTCTCTGCAAAGGCAGTCGAGAGAGGTTAAGATGGAGGGGTCACTCCCCACCCCCCCCCCCCCCCCCCCCAAATTAATGCAGTAGCTACTGTAACAGAAAATGTCTGATCCCGGTCAGGATTGTCCACCAAATGGCTAGCAGTGGCCACGGGGAAAAACTTCAGGTTACTCTTGCCGCTAGGACCTGGATTCAGTGGAAAACATCAACACAGTTTAACAAAAAAGATGTGCAGAAATAATATCACGGGTTTAAATCTTAAATGCCAGCCTCAGAAAAAAAATTTAAGGATTTCATCAAGTATTTTAGCAGGATTGGGAGCCCTTCTCGCCATAGCTTACAAAGGCCATGATAGAATTGTCCTCCGTCTTTCAGTCTTCTTTTAAATTTTAGCATTTTTCTCTCATTGCTTTTGCATTATTACGCTAAAGAAAACTCTTAGAAAAGGATCTTAAATTCAGTACCTTAAGAAAAGTACCCATTCAGCTTTAGCATTCAGCTCCCCCTATGCCAAGGAACCTGTTTTGTGCAGCCCAGACATTCTCTATTTTAAAAAATTAATAAGGGAAAGTGGAAGCAGAGGTGAAACAGTCCAAACCTGAATGGCTGGAGAAAAACCCATGTGTGGCAATTAGTCTTATTTTGCTGCCAGGGATGATGTGCAGTGAAAACTCTCTGCCTTTCCTGTAATGATGTCTGCCTGCAGACAGGATGCTCCATTAGCCAGCAGCATGTGCAACTTCAGGAACCTGAAATCCCAACCTCCAGCCTGTGAGCTGCTTCAAAGACTCTACCAGCACAACCAATTCTCAGCTGGGCTGGTTTGATAGTCTCCATCTCTGAGGAGGCAGAGGGGCACCCAGATGCTTCCTGCCTAATGAAGCAAGCAGCAACAGTCATTAAAAAAACCCCATATTCCCATACAAATTTGGGCATGACTCCAATTATGGCTCTTTTTACGCAGAAAAGGGCCAACCTTGCTATGAGAGCGGAACAGTGAGGAAGCCCCGATCAAGTGCATCCAAAGTCACACAGCGCTTTGGAAACCTAGCAAAGGCCCATGGACAGCTGGGCTGAGCACAAATGCGGATCAGGATTCAGCCATTTTCTTGTCAGTGCTGCAGAATAAAACACAAAATTACTCCAAATGCGATTAGACAGAAAGCAGAGCGCAGAGCCTCATTTGCAGGATTTAGGATTTAGCTGGGATATGTGCTAACGCAAAGGTAGGTAGCGTGGAAATTGTGCCATTTGAATGGGACAGATTAAAGCATTAAATATAAGCTCTTTAGTAGTGTTATGAGTACAATCCTGGCTTATTAAAACAAACTCAGCTTCTTAAAAGTGAAACTGCCCTTAAATGAATAATACTGTTTCAGTCCCAGTTCTGACAGAACCGGCTTTGTTAATTTGTTTTCTTTTTTAAGTCGTTCCCAATTCTTGGATCTCTTGTAGGAACTGCCACTACATTTTGACTGGTTTCAGAAGTTAAATCTTTACCGTCAAACTGCCTTATGTAAGTCTGAGACATCGGAAATATTTTTCTCTCTGTATTACATTTTAAAAAAATAACCACAGGAAAATGCTTGACAAATTTGACCTTGGCCCCAAAATACCCACGCTCAGAGCAAAGAGGCACTAGGTAGTGTGATTCCCTGATGCTGCTGCCCTGGCATGGGGAAGGGAATGGGTTCACAGCCAGGAATGCTGCAGTACTGAACTCTTCAAGCTGCAGGTAGGGAGGCAGAACTGACCCCTCTGTCCAACCAGCTGGGCTGCTGACAGAGCCTGGGGCCTGACCCATGGCCACCCGCTCCTGCTTTTTCTGAACTATTTTCACTTCAAAACAGAACAAAAATAATCCTCCCAAACCTGAAGATCCTTACTGTGAAGAAATACAGGCACAAACTGGAGAGGACTGGATAGCATCACTTGTAAGTGGAGGTTACACTGTCACTGCCTGAAGTCATATTGCTAAGATCTGATTTTAGATTTCCTCTAATACACCATTGAGCCATAATTAGACGGGAGGCTGGAAGCTCATCATCCAAAACTACCAGAGATTTATATTTTCAAAGGCACCAAGAGTTACTGGAATTAATTTGATTTCTGCACTGGCATTCTCTACTGGCTATTGCAAAGTATAAAGTTGAGTGCATTTAACTCCAAAAAAGCAAAATAGGTTCCAGCCAGTCATGACCTGGAATGGCCTTTTGCTTTCCCAGCAAGGCTCCTTAATAAAACAGGGCAATAAAACCAGGTTTTTCCATTTTTAGATAGGAAGCACATGACTACTTCACATATATTTTTTAATTTGAAAAACAGCCCTTGCCAAGGGGATAAGGGAGATTTATAAACCCCAACTCCAGGGTGTTCTAGTCCCTGGACTTGGCATCCACCTACTTGTACCGTCTGCCTTGTGGCCAAGGTTTCTGACCTACTGATGGACAAGTCTGTTTCTGCAGTGAGGTGACAGGCATGCCTCCCTGCAGCCCTCCCAGCCCGCTGGGAAGACGGGATGTGCTACAGGAATCAGCCAAGCAATGCTGAGACAAAGTCAGAGGGAAGCACAGGCAGGCCAAGTGCTGGCTTGGTAGAAAGCAGCGATATGGCTTCGATGCTAGAGAGGCAAGCCCAGACACCACCAACACACAGTCACTGCTACCTGTAAATCACTCCCACACCTTCACTTTTCCTCCCGAGACCAGCTCTCTCCTCTTCCCTGCTCCTCCAAAGCCTCTCCTCTGACTGTGCAGCACTGCCAGGAGTTGCGCAGAGCCACAACGAGAGGCCCAGCAAGGGTGTGGCTCTGGACACCCTCTTGGGCAAGCAGCCTAATGAGCTGACTGAGCCCTATATGGCACTTTGCAGGAGCTGTGGTCTGAACAAAGGCTGAGCAATTTACTCTTGGCTAGGTGAAGAGGCTTTAGCATCCCTGTTTTGGAACAGGGAAAGCTCGAGCCCGAAATAGTAACAGGCTTGATTACCACTTGACAGAGTCCAGATAAGCCCTGGGGAGCTCCTGGTCCTCGCTGTTGCTTCAGGCCACTCTCTGTGTCTCCATTTCAGCCCTGTTGCTGAGCGTGAGCACACAAAGAGACAGATGCAAGCCCGTGATATCCACATCCTGAAGAATTTAGCTGGAAGAAGTGTCAGTAAAGAAGTAAAGAAAAGTAAAAAAAAAAGACAACGCAAGAGCCCCAGCTCCTGGGCCAGCCACAGCTGCAGTGGCTCACACATGTCCTGTGGTGAGAGAGGCACAAGGCTGGAGGCACATGCCAGGGCCAGTGGCCCGTTGGAGGCACTTCATAAGAGCCCAGCCTTATCTGCAGCAAAAGAACAAAAGCAGAAGGACTTTGGCGCAAGACCACAGATAATAATAATAAACGCTGACCCGTGCAAACTTCCACACTGAGAAACAAAACCAAAAAAAAGCGGTGAATGAGAGGTGGGTGATGAAGCATGCCCGCCAAGACGGCAAGGGGCCAAGCCTTTTGGCTGAGGTTTGTTGCATACATGCTGATTTGGGCCCCCTCCACACCTCATATCACCAGCAGAGGAGAGTTCAGAGGTGGCTCTCCTGGTATTACACACTCCGGCTGTACAAAGCCTCATGGAAGTGAAACATGAAGTTTGGGGAAGACTCGGATCCCTCCCACACACCCTCTGAAGCATACACACACTGCACACTCAGCCACTGAGTCCCTTGCTCTGCTCTTCCCATGTGGGAGACAGGCTGACAGGCATCAGCTGGTTGGTGACTTGCGTCCTGCGCCCTCAGTCACAGGTGTCCCCTCTTCTGCCTCTCCTGCCACTCTCGTCTCAGCACCACGATCTCCTGCCCGTACCAGTTGTGCAGCTTGGAGAAACAGATCGTGTCTGGTGACACTGGGCTCTCCAGCATGGCTGGTGAGAGGCTAGGCGCTGGGGACCCTGTGGCGCTGCCAGTGGCCGAGCGCCGGCGAGGAGGCAGAGGTGGGGGCTTTGCTTGCCCCCCATCATGGTCAGGGCAGGCAGCCCCATCGGGGATACAACCACCACTACCCCATGTGGAGTAACCGTTCTCCAGGATGGAAGGCTTCTCCTGGAGAGGCAGCAAGGCTGGGTTGGAGAGATGCCTCTTCCTGCCAGAGGAGGAGGACCTCCGTGGAGACTTGCGGCAAGCGGCCAAGCTCTTGCAAGCCTCCTCCAGCTGCTTCTCCAGCTCCTTTACCACCAGCCGCATGTAGTCGAAGCTGGCCCGCGAAAGTGCCTTCACCCAGGCCTCCATGGTAGCCTGCCCGTCAGCCACCAGCACGTAAGCCCTGGCGCCAGCATCGTCAAAGCGGATGGCAAAGGCGAACTCCTCAGCAGCCTCACACAGCTCCACGGTGCAGCCCTCCAGGACCACCAGCCCCACGGGCTCACGGCTCTCCCGCTCCTCGAAGTAGAAGAGGAGATTGCCCTTGAGGACAAACCAGCGGCGCTGGTAGGAGGTGCTGTAGTGGTGGGCATGGTGGTGGTGCCGTTCCACCCGCTTGCGCAGGAAGCCGGCATGGTCAGCGGGTGAGTCACAGGTGGCATAGTGGGCCACGCTTCGCTCATTCAGCTTCATCACCCTGCCTAGGAGCAGAGGAAGAGAGGGGGAAGTTGTCTCAGTGTGTGGAACATGTCATTGGCCCCACCAGAAGAGGCCTGATCCTGCCCCTAGGGAAAAGCAGGACTCCAGCAGCCAGCAATGCAGGACAGCATCTAATCCAGCAGGCACCCCTACAAAGGGCAGGCTGGTTCCTCACTGCTGCAAAGAGGAGGTCATCATCAGAGCCTCACCACCAAGACACCTGCCTTCTCTGGGAATGCCAACATCGCTGTTTAATTTCTTATTCCATGAGTATCCTACATTGCTGTTTTTTTTATGGGGCACATCAAAGAAATTGGCCTCTGTGTCTGCAAGGCATTCATTTTGCTCTCTATTAGAGGGCAGGAAAAGGAGAATGTTTCAGACCCAAGGGGTCTGAAACTTCTATTTCAGCACCCTCTCCCCACTGCCTGTCTCCATGCAGGACCACCCACTCCCAACAGCCCTCCCGGCAGCAGAACGCTCAGCCCTGGCAGGTTCACCAGCAGTGGGGTGCAAGGTGCCATACCAGCTGTGTGGGTCAGACTGCAATCCCTTGCTGTCTTCCTTGGTTGGGCTGCTCCCTCGTTGAGGGTCTCCAAAGCTTCACTGTGATGAGCCCCATCCTTTGTTGAAGAAAAGGTGGCAGAGAGGGAGTCATGAACCAGAACAGTTTGGACCAAAAGAGCTAAGAGCTGCACCACTCCCACCCCAGAAAGCCAGAGTCCTCAGCGCAGGCAGGCAGCTCTGGAAGCCATGGTGGCAAAACTGGGGGCACATGCATTAGCTTCAAAGCCTGAACTCCATCCCAGCTCAGGCCAGTGCTCCTATGGGTTTGTTTTCTGGCTCCTGAGGCTTTGTTTTGGTTTTATTAAAAAGAAAAAAAGAGGCTTTGTAGAAGCTGTCACTGTCCCATTTGCAGAGGCCCTATGGCAGGCGGTTCGGCACGTAGAGGAGGACAGAGCCTCGAAGGACAGAGCCAGCACAGCCTTTGTGGATTGTACAACTGCAAAAGGATGTCCAACCGCTAAAACTCCACACACAGAAATATGCAGAAAACAAACCATAGCCACCACTCCCTGGTCAGATCCGGTCGTGGGGAGCTCCCTACTGCTGAGCAACCTCCAGAATCCCTCCCGGAGCCCTTCTCCCCCATCAGGGCTTGCGGGGCAGGGCTGAGGATCTGGGGGCACGGATCCCGGTATGAAAATGCACAAGACCCCGATCAGACACAAGGAAAGGCGGTTCCTCGGGGTTGCTCTATCCTCGGCGCGGCACCCTGGGGAACCTCCAGCCCGGCACACTCTGGCTGCGGGCAGCCGGGGCGGCCCTCACCAGCCCTGATGCGAGGGGGCTGCGGGGGTCGCAGTGTGCAGTGCTGGGCTCTGTCTTTGTGTGCGGGCGCACGCCTGTGCAATCGGGCGGCGTGTCTTTGTGTGCGTGTGTGCCCCTCCGTGTGTGTGTTCGCCGTGTGCCTCCCACCCCCGCGGCCCCGCGCCCGCCCCGCCGCCGCTCGGTCCCGGCCCCGCCGCCACTTGGCCCTTGCCCAGCGGTCCCTTGCCCAGCTTGTCCCGACAGCGGGACAAGGGCTCCCGGTCCCGGCCCGTCCCGGCTCACCTCCGGCCGCTCCTGCTCGGCGGTGCGGTGCGGGGCAGCCCAGCCCCGGCCGCGGGAGGGGGAGGGCTCCTGCGGCCGCTGGGGCCGTCCCGCCGCGCCGGCAGCACCGCCCCACCGGCGGCAGCAGGAGCGGGGGGCGGGGGGCACCGCAGCCTGCCCGGAGCCGCGTCCTCCCGCACCCCTTCGCTCCTCCCGACACTCCTGCGGGGTCCCAACCTCGGGGGGACATAAACCTCCCACTCCCAGTGTAACTATTGGGATGCAGCAGCCGCGGGGTGCGGCGGTGATAGGGTGCCAGCAATGGGGTGCGATGGCAATGGGGTGCAGTACCGGCTGGGCGCGGTGCTGGTGGGCAGCAGCTGCGCGTTGCAGCAAGCAGTGGGGTGCAGTACGGACGGGGTGCGATATTGACAGGGTGCAGCAGTGCGGGGGGGGGCGATATGAACGGGATGCCCCGACTGTGGGGCGCAGGACGCTGCTGTGCCATGCCGGCGGGTCCCGGTGGCCCCGGGCCGGGCGGGAGGCGGGGGCAGGCAGTCAGGTGATGTGGGCGGCATCATGTGAACGGGGCCGGGCCGGGAACGGAAGAGTCTTTCTGTGCCCCGGCGGCAGCGGTGGGCACGATGGTGCCGAGCGGGGTGGCCCTGACCGTGGCCGTGGCCGTAGCCCTGGCGCTGCCCTCCGTGGCCCTGGAGAACGGGCTGGCGCGCACTCCCCCCATGGGCTGGCTGGCCTGGGAGAGGTTCCGCTGCAACGTGGACTGCCGGGCGGATCCCCACAACTGCATCAGGTCAGCGGGGCGGTGAGGGTCGGGTCGGACATCAGACCTGCGACAGCTCTGGCAGCATTTGTGTCCCTGGGATCCCGGGTGTATGTGCGTGGGAGGCGGGGGACTCAGGCACCCGGCGCTGGGCTGGAGAGCCCCCGGAGCTGAAGGATGTGGCCAGGCTTTGCGACGTGTCGGGAAACACTTTCCCTCGGTGAGGTCAACGAACGGGACCCTGACGGGGTTTAAACAGGAGCCCTTCCTATAGCCCAGCCCAGCAGCGATCAACCCTCCAGAGTCCCCAGCTAACCCCAAATCCCTTTGACTACCACAGCTAGTGGGGCACAGGGGTTGCAGGGTCTCAGCCTGCCATGTCCCCTCAACCCACAGCGAGAGGCTCTTCTTTGAGATGGCAGACCGGCTGGCAGAGGATGGATGGAGGGTGCTGGGATACCAGTACATCAACATTGACGACTGCTGGTCTGCCAAGCAGCGGGATGCGGCAGGACGGCTGGTTCCCGATCCTGAGAGATTTCCTAGTGGAATTAGGGCTCTGGCTGACTATGTGAGTGCCTGCTGGGGTTTGTGGGGATTTCTGTGTCTCCCTGCCACCACGGTGGAAGAACTGGGAGGGGATGGAGGACCCTGGCACCTGGGAGACACCTTGGATCCCCGCATCCACTCCTTGCAGCTCTCCTCTCCTTACAGGTCCATGCCAGGGGCCTAAAGCTGGGCATTTACGGCGACCTGGGCAGCCTCACCTGTGGGGGCTACCCGGGCACCACACTGGACGATGTGAAGCAGGATGCCCAGACCTTTGCAGAGTGGGGTGTGGATATGCTAAAGCTGGATGGGTGCTACTCATCAGAACACGAGCAAGCAAAGGGTAAAAGCTCATGGGCCATCTGGTACTTCTTCCCTTGCTGGTTGGGGCAGCTGGCCATCTGCAGAAACATTTGGCCAAGTGGTTCTTTCCTTCTGTCTCCTATTGCAACTCCTGGGCAAAGCGGAGGGAGTTTGGGTGCCCTGGAGCTGGTGTAAGGCAGAAAGCCATGCTGGCCTGGGTTTCCCCTTGCTGGGTGAGCTGCAATACAGGCTGCTGTTGGGACGCAGGCTGCTGCCAGCCACCCTCTTCATCAGTTGTCATCTTCTCTCCCTAAGGCTACCCAGAAATGGCGAGGGCTTTGAACGCCACAGGCCGCCCCATCGTCTATTCCTGCAGCTGGCCAGCATACCAGGGAGGGCTCCCCCCCAAGGTGAGGGTTGTCCTATCCAGTGGCAGTTTCCTGTGTCCCCCGTGTGCTGGGGGAGCTCTTGTTGGAGCCACAGGAGCCAGGTGCTACACCCTGCTTATCACTCTGCCCCTGGGTGGTGCTGCAGAGGGGATGTAGCCTCCCTGCCAGGCATCTGGGAACGTTTGGGGTTCCCAGCGTGGCTAGGTGAGGGGAGTTTGTGGGAAGAAGGCCCTGGGGTATGCCATCTCCACCCTACTCAGCTGGTGTGGAGTTGCTCCTGACAGTCTGTTCTTGTGAGACAGGTCCTGTCTGGTTTCAGTGCTTGAAACAGGATATTCCTCCTAATATATCTTTCTTGAGAATTGGTTGCATTCATGTACTTCCTCTTTCACGTTTTGAGTCAATCCCAAGCTCCCCTCACTCTTGTAGCTGATAGCTGATCATATTTCCCCAAGGCCTCTGTGGTTGCTTTGCCAGACATCCTATCATACTGGCATGTGCCCAGTCATACTGGGACATGACTTTGTCCTCCCTCCCTACATGATGTTGCCCTTCTCCAGATCCCTCTGTCTTTGACACACTTTTTGGACAGTGCAGCTCTCAGCAGTTTGGGCTGCCTCTTCTCCCTCACCTTGCAGACCAGTTCCATTTTCCCTGCTGCCTGACCCCATTCTTCTCCTCAGGTGAACTACACCATCCTGGCAGAGGTCTGCAACTTGTGGCGTAACTATGATGACATCCAGGACTCCTGGGACAGTGTACTTTCTATCCTGGACTGGTTCTTCACAAACCAGGACGTGCTGCAGCCAGCAGCTGGCCCCGGTCACTGGAATGACCCGGACATGGTGCGGCTGGGTGGTGGGTGCTCTGACTCTGTCTGGGGATGAGGATTTCCAGAGATCCTCTTCTATGGGCAGGGCAAAGGATGAGTGCCAAGAGCAGGAGTCTTGTTGCTGCAAAGAGGCAAAGCTGGTGTTGCCCTTGGCTAAGCTCTGGGAAAACTGCATGGTTGCAATGAACCCTTCACTGTTTGAGTTTACAAGTCATCCACTTGTTCTTTTCTTCCCTGCACGGACTGAGGGGGAGTATTGGTGAAATGAAGGGTGTTAGTGAGTGCATTTGAATGTGTGCTGTTGGCAGAGGTGGGATCTCCTGGTGGTGGACTGCTCAAGAGGAAGCGAAAGTGTGTGTGAGGTTTCCCTGGCAAGCTCCCTCCCAGGAGGAAGCAGCATCAGCAAGGGTGACAAACAGACAAATTTCTAACCTTTTTCTGCCTCACATCTTTTCACTGTCTCCCTTCCAGCTCATCATTGGAAATTTTGGCCTTAGCTATGAGCAGTCACGTTCTCAAATGGCCTTGTGGACAGTGATGGCAGCTCCTCTCCTCATGTCCACGGATCTCCGCACCATCTCCCCAAGTGCTAAGGAGATCCTGCAGAACCGCCTGATGATCCAGATCAACCAGGACCCCCTGGGAATTCAGGGGCGCAGGATTGTCAAGGTTAGGAACAAGGCAGATGCATTTGGGAGAGCAGACAGGAGCAGCACAGAGCATCACAGTAAGGAGGGAGAGGGAAGTGATGCAGAGAAACAAGAGCAGGAGAGCTGTGAAAGCTGGGGGCCTGCTGGCGTAGCAGCCCCACAGGGCAAGGTCAGACAGGTTATGGGCCAGTGCTGGTCCCAGCAGCTCTGCCTCACCCACCTATCCCCACTCCTAGGAGAAAACCCTCATCGAGGTGTTTCTGCGCCCACTGTCCCAGGCTGCCAGCACCCTCGTCTTCTTCAGCCGAAGGACAGATATGCCCTTCCTCTACACCACCAGCCTTGCCAAGCTCCACTTCCCTGAGGATGCTGTGTATGAGGTGAGCCCCACTGACACACTGCATAGCAGGGCAGCCCTATGGCACCTGGATCCCCCTCTTCCCAGCTCTCTATGCATTCTGGGAGGAGTGGGAGGGAGGACTCACACTCTGTGCGTCCAGGATGAAGGGGCAGCTGCCCACTGGGTCACCCTCCTGTTACCTACTACTGTGCCCTGTCCTGCTATGCTATGTCAGTGACCACAGCTGGACCCCAAGATGAAAGGTCTGTGGAAATCTCTCTCTTCCAGGTACAAGACGTGTACAGCGGGAAGATCATCAGTGGCTTAAAGACAGGAGACAACTTCTCAGTTGTTATTAACCCCTCAGGGGTGGTGATGTGGTATCTCCGTCCCACGGCACTCCCGGTGCAACCCTGGCATGTGGTCAGAGAGCAAGCCCATGGCGAGGGTCTCCGCCCCATCCTCCTGTGATGAGGTGCAGTGGGTGGGGTGTGGGCCAGTGCCGGGGTGAGCTGGGAGACCCCGGGACACGTGGCTCTTCACTGAACAAGTGCCTTTTGCTGGTGTGCCCAGCACTGCTGACACCATTCCTTAATACCAGCTTGATGATGTCTGCTCAGTCTGTGTAAGTCAGGAATTCTTGTTACCCGCCTCCTAGGGGTGTGCAGAGCATAATTCCTCAGTGACTGCAAAGCCCTTTGAGATCCTCCTGTGGAAGATGCCATATAAGCAGAGTCCAGCCACTGTTGGAGTTTGTCAGCTCTGACACCTGAGAACTTCCCTGCTTTGAGCTGGGTATCACTTGCCATTGCAGGGGCTGTTTGAACTGTACCTGTAGAAGGGCTTTGGATGCTTTACTATCTCCTAGGGTTGCAACACCCCCTTCTCCCTTCACCCCTCTCCTCCCCAGGCCCAAATGTGCAATGGCGTTAATCTCAAGGATCAAACCTGGTCGCCTTTCTTTTGCTATAATCAGCTTGGCTTAGAGTAAGGAGTTGTGGCTGCATCCCTCCCATCTACCCCCACCACTACCAAGAACTTCTGGAGGCCAAGATGGTTGCTCTGCAGAGAGGTTTACTTGCAGGCCTGATCCTGCTGCCAGGATCCTAGAGGCCAGCACTACTGCAGCCTAGCATCCATGCTAGCATTGTATTAAAGCCTCTCTGGCAGCAGTTTACAGCAGAGAAGAGCAAAAACTTCCATGCATGATCCCAGCAGCCATGCTGTGGTACAGCACCAAAAACTGAAGAGCCATAGCATGTTGTGTAGAAGTGGTGTTGGGAAGATGCCAGTACTCAAGTTGAGGTGGTCACCAGTGCCTCCAAGCTGCAAGTTGCATCCTTTTCTTTCTAGAAGGACATTCCTGCTAGGAGGCAGCTCAGGTCCTCCAGTAGGTTTAACACTCAGAGTTTCTCAGGGAAAGGCTCCTCCTTCTCCCAAGGGCAGCTACATCCACAGCTCCATCCTGAGGAGGAGCCTGCACTAATAAACTGGAAGTGAGTGGTGGGACAGACTCCAAAGCCCTCAAAACTGCTTCACCTTCATACAGCACACATCCTATGGAAGAGTTTAGGTATGACATGGCCTACCCCATCTCCCACAGAGAGGGGTGCAGCATTCATGAAGATTGCAGCCCAGGGCACTGACACAAGATTAAGCCTCAGACTGGGGAAATACCACATTTTAGATTAGGCAAAAAAAGTTCTGGTTTTGTTCATCTCTCCGGAGGGTTCCTCATCATCTGCCCACTCTGGTTCCTGCAGGACCAAATGGCTGATTCCGGCCACCTCCAGAAACTTTCTCTGAGTGCAGCATCAAGATACTGAACACAGTGACTGCAGTGCTATTAAGGAAGGACTTGCTAACAAACAAGGAGCTGGCTTTGTTCATGGGAAGTGATTGAGGCAAATAAATTGAAATAAAAGGGAAGCAGATCACAGACTCTGTCTCATGTTTGTTTAGTGTTGCTAGCTATAACTGCGTGGTTAATGCAGGATTACAGGGCCATTACCTCAAAACAGGAACTATGCTAAGAAATAGAACTGCTTTCCTGTCAGAAATTGGACTGATGCAGAGTGGGAAATGGCTTTCCAGTAGTTACATCATGTTCAGCAGGGCAACAGCACTGCTTGGCACAAGGGGAAACAGATTTTACAGTCCACAGCTAAGTGCCATTTTCCTTTATCATATATTTATTTTTCCCTTACTGGAAAAAAATTGCTAGTGAGGAGCTCCTCTTAAAGACAGGCCTTCCCTGTGGCAGCAAATGTTAAGAGAAAAGGTGCAACAAATACAGCTGTAGTGAGTAGCACTGTGGTGACACAGCCCTGCTAAATGCAGTGTTGTGCCTGCCTGGAGGGCATGAACATGTGCCAGTTCTGGATACCTGGATGAGAGCAAAGGCACCAACCAGCTTTCCGCCCTTCCCAGGCAGCAAGGGGATAAGCCCCACCTTTTCCCTCTCTCCAGTTACTTGATTCCAGATCCAGCGTAGGCATGTACCAGGGGGAGAGAAGGACTGGCTCACAGCTGACCTGAGAGAATGCCACCAACCGAACCCATTCCAGCCCTCTGTGCAGTATACAAGAATTAAGGTCAACACAACATACACACAACAGTGAACAGGCAACTAAAGGTATCAACACTCCTGTATTAAAGTGCAATTCAAAAAGTTACAAACATTCATGGTTGATTTTTTTTTAAATACAGAGTTATTAGAATATCTCTAACTCAGACCTAAAAAGTGTTTATAGATAAGGAAATTTACTTCCCCCCTATGTGGAACTGCTTGAAATTGTGCAAACCTGACTTATAGGAGAGCCCTGGCACACAGGGAAGTAAGAGGCAAAACACTCCTTCCCCCTCACTGTGAAGGGGGGCTGTAGGAAGGAGTACAATCACCCCATAAGTAAAGGATCACAAGGGTCTCTACCAGACTAGAGACTCTCTTCAGAGCAGGTTTAATGGCACTATGTCCTAAGGAAAAAGGAAAGATTGTGGCTGAGCAGCCAGAGTTTCTGCAAGAGAGCTGAGCGATAGTAACACCCACCTCAGACAGCGGTTCCCAGCTGAGAGGACACTGCACTCCTAAGCAATCCCACTCTGGGATTACAGTGCCCACCTGCCCACGTTGCTCAGATGTGGGCCTAAAGGAAAAGATGAGGGCCATTTTTCCCCTGTGGAGGTAGCACACAGTGCAAGCTTGCTCAGCAGAGGGAGCCAGGGCTGAGACCTGTCTGCTGACAAGGCTAGTGCCAGGTCATCTTCCTAACATAACATATTTTGCTCCAAGGCAGGCAGCCTCCTGTGCAGCACTTGACTCCATTACGCTTGAAGAACAGCTGCTTGACACAGGATCATTGCACAGATATGGGGCCTGCTTCTAGGACAGGGAAGGGAAGACTGATCCAAATGCCTGCCAGTCTATCAGCTCATTGGCCTGTGGCACACCTTTGTTTGCTTTTCTACTCAATGGCTACAATGGCAGGCTGGTTGGTGCCCATCCCCTTCCCTCTTGCGTAGCCAAATGCTTCAGTGTCTCTTAGAATGCACTTCCCAGGTCATCACCTCATGACTGTTAGTCCAGGACACGAATTGTACACTTCCAGCACAATACAGGATTTCCAGAGTCCCATCTCACGCTGAATTGTGCTAGAATTTTAAGAAATTTAACACCTTTCTGGGACACCCAAGAATCTATGCAAGGAACCTCATGGCTCTCTACACCTTTCCTCTTGGATGGTGCTTCAGAAGCAAAAAGTTTGGCACTCCAAGTTGTTTTACTCCAAGATCCCAGAGCCTTCACATTTTAGTCCTAGATTAGTCATATGATATACTGGTGGTTTAATAAGAAGTCTATCTCTCTCCTCAAGCCAATGGCAGAGCAAACGGTTAGTGCTTTGACCCCATGAGATAAAGCAAATAAGCAGGAAAGTGCTGTTGTTCTGCCTTGTATTGCCACTGACTTAATGTTTAAGGAGGGCAGGTGCTCAGCTGCCCAGCACTACATCTATCATATAGAAACAGAGATCCAGAGATATGTTAACTCGAGGGGTACTAACAGCCAAGTTGTCTTCAGGGAGAGAGAGTGTGGGAGGCTGATTGCAATTTCCTTCTGTTAGTTGTTCTTCTTATCCTCGGGAGGTGTATAAGGAGGTGGCTGATCCTGGAAGGAGATACAGTAGAGTCAACAACCCTGCTTGTTTTATGACAAGCTCTTCCAGGCTTGGCTCACAAGAAATGACTGCTCTGCAATGAGCTACAGATAGAGCCAGGTGCTACAGTTTAAGCTGTCATTTCATCACACCATTCCTCTCTAGTGTCAGCTATGCTCCATGATATACACTGTCTCTCATAATGTTTCTAGGGAAGGTCCCCTCAAAATCAGGTAACAAGTGATCTACTGTAAATGAACCATTTAATCTGCTTTAACCATCATCCTCCCTCCTCTTCCAGGGCTTTGTCCCTGTTGAGGCTCATAGCTCTGACCCAGCAGATAGAAAGCTCCTGGGCTGAGGGCCAGTTTTGCTGCTCCATCACCCTCCAGCCAGCCAGACCCACACAAGGCAGTGAAGGACACCGGTGGACTGTCATGTACCAGGTGTAGGCTACAGCCAACCTACTGGCTCCACCAACAAAACAGTAAGAGACCTTCTCATCTCCATACAGCCCAGAAAAAAAATGAAAGAGAAATCCACATGCTCTCATCCTTAAATGACCTGTTTTTCTTTAACTCTCCCCACTTTCACGCCCAATGGATGCAGAGAGCTCTGCATGTTCTCTGTTCTCTGTTATGCCTTTAGGAATAAGACAGGTAACAAATGGCTGTTACTGACAAATCTTAAAGCCTTCCTCCTTTCCTGACTGAAAATTTAGCAAGCCTTCCTCGTGGGACCAACATCCATGCCTCCCTCCCAGAAAAATGCATACTTTCTGTGCATGTTCAACATGAAGGTATGAAAGCAAATTGTTATGAAAGCAAACCACTGTCTCTGCCACTGACAGAGGAGGGAGCAGCTACAGACCAGGCACAGTACTCACCATGGGCATGTACACGTTGTGTGGGTTGGCAGGATTGTAATATGCACTGGAAGCAGCTTCCATGGCCTTACTGCTTCCTGAAAAAAAAGGAAAGCCACCTTAAATATCTTAGGCAGTGGTCCCAGAGCCTCCTCCCCAGCCATAGCTCTTCCAAGGAGGCAAGAAAGGCCCAAAGAGTTGACAGGAACTGCAGCAAGCTGGGTTAAAATTCAGAGCAGCTCAGGAAAGCTGGCTAGGGCTGACCTCAAGCTGTAGTCAGCTGCAGGGCTGAGCAGCTCCCCACAGATGACTTTGAGCTCCTGCAACAACAGGTTCCCCATGCTGTGCCCATGACACCCTCAGCCCAAGGCCCCACGCGCCCTTTTGCAACCGAACCCTGGTCAGCCCCCAGTCCCATTTACCTGGCATCCCAGGGCTCACCCAGGATGGGGGAGCTGAGGGGGCTGAAGGTCCCGCAGGAGATGGCCCGGAGTAGGGTGGTGGAGGTGGCACATACGCAGGGTTCATGTTTGGAAGTGGCGGGTAAATACCTGAAAAAGACAACATCAGACTGATGCTTTGGACTGTGGCAATGGGACAGAGGGGAAGAGAGCTCACAGGCTGGCAGCACATTAGCTCTGGAGAAGAGCAGTGTCCAGAGGGAAGCTAGGCGGGCTTAGCAGGGATGCAGACAGCAGGGATTTTACAATTTGCTAATGCCTGTCATGTCAGCAGTCAATAATTCTAACAAGCAGCAGCACAACTTACGAACCACATTTTCATATAGCTGGAACTATAGCAACACATGGGTGTGATCAACAGTATGAGACAGATTTTTTCAAGGACAAGGATCCTTGATGGAGACAAAACTACAGTAACCCTCACTGTACCACTGTCATTTCTTTACAGCTAATATCAAACAGAGTCATTGTTACACAACTTCCAAACCTGGAGTCTGGGCATATGGATATCCCATGGGCTGTGGAGCAGGTCCATAGGCATTCATTGGAGGTGGTGCATAAGGATACGGTCCGTTTGGTGGTGGAGGGGCAGCATAGCCTCCTGGCACAGGTGAATAACCCCCGGGGGCAGGTGCATAACCTCCAGGAACAGGTGTATAGCCATAGCCGGGATTCTGGAGAGGAACGCCACTGGAAGCTAAGGAGCACATGTTTAGTAAGCCAGACATCTTCTCTTACAACTAAATGCACAGAATAAAAGGTTTCCCTTCATCTAGATTCACTATATAGTCCTGGTATAGTAGTGTGCTTGAAAAGCATTAGTCACAGGGTGTTAAAGGGAACAGCTGCAAAAATATTACCTCATAGCTACCAGTCCCACCATAAGACCTCCCACTGCTTGAAGAAAAGACCACGCTAAAGCAAGCATCAGTAAAGTGTTTTTTCCTTCTTTTTAAACCTTCTTTCTGAAAAAAATGTACATTTTAAAATGTACATTTCTTAAAAAAAAACTGTATCAGAAAAAAAGGTACTTTTCCTCCCATTTGAAACTTTTAAATAGAAATTATTTTTCTAAAAACTATTTTTCCCCTCTCCAAATGTGCACATTAACTTCCCCCATCTTACTGAGCTGAGGATGGGTAAGGGAATCAATTTTTCACCATCGCATATTTAAACTTTTTTTTCTAGGAGGAATAAGGTTCTGCAGAAAAAGGTGGTCTACCTCAGAAGCACAACCCCCAGAATATTTTGACTGCACAAAGCACTAAGATGAACTAAAGAAAAAGGACTGGAAGGGAAAACAACAGTTCCCCTGAAAAGAGAAAAAATAGTTTGCTGTGGAAGAGGGTATTGGGTACCCCTCATTCTATGAAGTTCAGAAAGAGCACTATTTGCTTACTAGCTCAGCTGACCATGGGGGAACAACAGGTTCTGAAAATCCCTTACCACTAGAAGCAGC